CTTATCAAATAATAGGAATGTTATGTCATGCCACCTGAGTATTTTCAAAGACGCCGCAGTAAAACGAATAAACAGGTGCAAAAAACGATCAAACCATCAAGGTTTTAGGTACTGAAATCTACGAAAATACTAACTTTTTTATATACAACTCCACATGTAAATATTCTTATAACATTTACTTGCTTAGTCCTACATATAAAATTGTTTACTTTTATTTATAAGTACGTGAAAATAATTCTTAAAATGCGGGGTTTGGATAATAGTAAACGCATGTTTTACAAACGTTTTTTCTTAGTTGTTATTTTATTTGAGTAAATTTAAATAGTAACAATGAATAAACAGAACATCAAGGATTTTAATTTGTGCTTACTTCTGTTCTACACGTTTTACTTTTCAAGATTTCAGTACCTAAAAATGCCAGAAATTTCACCATTTCTCGGCCAGGGATATGGCCACCTTAATAAGAAACATTTTTTACGCGCACTACCGTAAATAATGCAAAAAAGTGCACACAAAACATATATCTTTGTTTAGTAAAAACCCATATTTGAAAATGTAAACATTTTTCGAACTATCATTACTTTTGATTAATTACATGGTCTAAAATATTCATTGGAAAAACTACTCTGCGTATCACTTGTAGGTTTAAAGCGCCTTACATTGGTATCTTTTCTCTCGACGCCATATCAAGGGTGCACAGGGCTATAGGGAACTTCATGCACCCTGTCGTATACCCGGATTACGTCTTTCCATTCAGGAAAAATCTAAGTTTCCTCGAAAGACTCGTGAGCACCGTTATCGGCGGTCTACTGGAGCACGTCTACTCCTATTACTTCTATAGGAAGGAGGATGAAACTGTAAAGAAACATTTTGGTAGCAATGTTAGACTTCTCAGTCAGATCGAGAAAGATGTTGATATGATATTTATCAACGTCAATCCTCTGTTCCATCAGTTAAGGCCTGCAGGACCTAATACTGTGCAAATCGGAGGGGGCACGCATTTAAGGGAACCCCAACTGCTGCCAGAGGTTGGTAAGCTTATTAGTCCCGACGTTATCTGTTCCAAAAAGTCCATATTTGGGTGAATCGTATATCCACTGAGATTCTTGGCTTTTTGGCTTTCAATTATCACTAGAAATGAAAATTTTTCTATGCGCATAAAAAAAATGTGGGGTTAACTTTTGGCGGCACAATATGTTAAAAAAATTCGAAGAATGTCATATTTTTCTTCCTATTTAATTATGTATCCTTTCAGGAGTTGATTTTAGGTGAAAATGGAAGAGGAAATAAATGTTTGTATTCAAATTTTAGAAAATATGACTAGTTACAAATCGAATGAATCATGATTATTATTGTAAAAATCGAAAAAATCGTCAAAAATGGGGTTCAAGAACATTACTTTTTAGGGATTTTTTTTGGGGTGTTTAAATTGGGTATAGGACCTTCATACTTGGCTCAAGAAAACTTCATGTTATGTAGAATCATCACACCAAATTTCATCAAAATCGGTTCGATAGATCTTGCATAAAAATTTTGCGATTCAAATTTTGAAAAAAATATTGCGAATTTTCATAATTTTGCACAGCAAAAACCAAGGCCCTTAGATACTTGAAAATTTAATCACACATAGAAGGGCTCTCAAGCTTTCAAACGCTTTTTAAAAAATTCGAATCCGTTAATTGGGAGAGCTCTGGCGCTTGTTTAAACATTGGTCGAATTTTGTACTTATAAACAATAACTTTGTGAATATTCAACTAAATTAAAATTTTTTAAATAGGTTTTAAAAGTTCTTGGAAAGGCGCTTCTTTAAAAAATAAAAGAGATCGATTGGTCAATTAATTACGTAGTTATAGCCGATCAAAGTTAATCGTCATTTACGCTGGATGTACTGGGATATCCGGGCTAATTTTTCGCAAAATACTGTTGGTATTCCGAGTACTTACCAGGTCTAAGTTCGCAATACTTTTCTTCATTGGCAACCTACTTTAAAACATGTTTAAAGTTATTTATGGAAGCGAGAAATTCAATAAAATCGCACGGGTGGTGGTGGTGGGGGAAGCAGAGAGCGCGGCCGCTTCGGCCTGCTCGAAATTGAATCGGCGATTTCAAAATCGCGACGCGCTTAAAAATTTTTAATATCTCAGCTTCTAGAGGTCCGATTTTGATGATTTTTTATAAAACGATGTCTCGCGAGTTAAAAAAAAACAATTAGCGTATTTTCAAATGCCTATCGTTAATAATTATTGGTCTTTCAACAGTCCGATAATTATTTATCTTAAACTTCCTTTAATTATTAACTCTATTTTTTTATTGTATCAAAGGTAAGTGCATAAACTTATATACTGTTTATCAAAGATCAAAAACAAATTTATTTAAATATTCTAAAATTGTTTCAACAACAATTATTTTCAAAATATGCCGAAAATTAGTAATATAATGAATTAATTTCTCATTTGCTTATATTTTAAACACTAAATATTTAAATTATACTTTAATCACAAAAAAAAATATTAAAAAAAGAATCTTTCTTTCATTTCAATATATTATTTCGTATTCGAAAAATACGACCTTGAAAAAAATAGATACACGTATATCCCGTTAGGAAAAGAATCTCTACAACTTGTATATACAGTGTTATTTTTTTAAAACCTGACAGGCCAACTTTTTTATTTGCAGTAATAGACTAGTACTTCCAATTGCAAAGTTGTAGGAAATAACTTGATTAAGAAAAATTTACAAATAATTCTTTCCGGTGTTGCCAGATTTCTGCAGTAGCTACTAAAACGATATTTTCTAAATGGCAACACGGTTAACTTTGATCGGCTATAACTACGTAAGTAATTGATCAATCGATCTGTTTTTTTTTTAAAGAAGCGTCTTTCCAAGAACTTTTAAAACCTGCTTTAAAAAATTTGATTTGATTGAATATTCACAAAGTTATTCTAATTGTTTATAAGTACAAAAATTTGACCAATGTTTAAACAAGCGCCAGAGCTCTCCTAATTGACGGATTCGAATTTTTCAAAAAGCGTTTGAAAGCTTGAGTGCCCTTCTATAGGTATGTAATTCAATTGGGAGAAAAATATGACATTTTTCGAATTTTTTTAACATATTGTGCCGCCAAAAGTTAAGCACATTTTTTTTATGCGCATAGAAAAATTTTCATTTCTAGTAATATTTGAAAACCAAAAAGCCAAAAATCTCCGTGGATATACTATTTACCCAAACTAAAACAGATACCGCCTAGTCTATATACAGTATGTCTATAGTTAAGGTGGACAAGAGACGAACAATTAATTTTATTTTTCATTTTACAGGAAAAGTCGTTATGCACAAATTGTTTTACTTGCTTTTAAAAGGCCGAAAGGCAAATTTATTCTTACGTCATGTTTAGAATTTTGATTTTCTAAACGTCCTGTACATGTTAACCAAAAATTCTACGGCTCAACATATATTAATAACCAACAATTTTTTTTACATGAAATGACTTTTTTCGTAAAAAATATACAATGTGTATCCTCTAACGGAATTATGAAAAAATGCGATTGACATAATTTTGAGACTGTTCTCTACTAGAACATTCAAGAATTCATGGATTCTGCGAATAAGGGGGTAATATACTTCAGTTTGGGGTCCACTATGAAAAGTTATTTAATCAGCGACGAGTTGAAAAGTATCATCCTGAACACGTTAGCCGATTTGCCCTATATGGTTATATGGAAGTTTGAAAAGGAAGATTTACCGGAAAAACCAAATAACGTGAAAATTATGGAGTGGGTGCCGCAGCAGGACCTTCTCCGTAAGTATTAACATATATGAGGTTGATTTAATAATAATTTCAAGTAAATTTTCACGATTAGCACTTTTTTTAACTTTATTGCAGAGCATCCCAATGTCGTTTTATTTATAACGCAGTGCGGTCTTCAGTCAATTGAGGAATCCATATTCAGTCACGTGGCCATGGTAGGAATGCCGTTTTTTGGCGATCAGTCTAGGAATTGTAGGATAATGAAAGAAAATGGCTTGGGCTTAGTGGTGGACAGGAAAAATCTAACCAAGGAGGCCTTCCGTGAAGCCATTACCGAAGTTATAAATGAACCGATGTAAGACCTATCTTATTGTGGATCTTTTTTCTATTTTAGATTTATATTTGTCATAATTTGGCGAATATCGATTGTTTTTCTTCGATGTTCGATTCTTCGTTGTTGCTTTTCGTATTGTATTAAATTAAATTAAATTTAATTTTTAGTTATCGAAAGCGAGTGAGAGAAGTGGCCGAGTTGACCAAAGACGTAGAAATGACGGGTTTGGAAAAAGCGGTCTGGTGGACAGAATACGCGATAAGAACGCGAGGAGCTAAACATTTGAGAAACCCCATCGTGGACTTACCTTTTTATAAAGTTTACTTGTTGGATGTAATAGGATTTCTCTTAGTTATTATTGCAATATATTTATACGTCATTGTAAAATCTGTAAAATTTATATTTAGGCTTATCTTTTCCAAGAATGATCATAAAATAAAAAAATAATAATGATTGTGGTTTAACTATTCACCATGTAAATAAAAAAACAACACGTGCGGTATCAAATGGAAGGTATTTATTATTATCTCCCAATTCGAGTGCTAGACAATTTTAATTTCAATTATATTGCGTAATTAGGTAATCATTATAGACTAGGCTATCTGTTTTGTGGGCTTAACTTTTGGCGGTACAATATGTTAAAAAAATTGGAAAAATTTCATATTTTTCTTCATATTTAATTATGTATCTTTTCAAGAGTTGATTTTAGGCGAAAATGGAAGAGGAAAAAAGTGTTTGTAATTAAATTTTTTACAAAATATGACTAGTTACAAATCGAATGAATCATGATTATTATTGTAAAAATCGAAAAAATCGCCAAAAATGGGGTTAAAAAATATAATTTTTTTGGGATTTTTTTTGGGGGTCTTTAAATTGGGTATAGGACCTTCATACTTGGCTCAAGAAAACTTCATGTTATGTAGAATCATCAGACCAAATTTCATCAAAATCGGTTCGATAGATTTTGCATAAAAATTTTGGGATCCAGATTTGGAAAAAAAATTGCAAAATTTCAAAATTTTGCACAGCAAAAACCAAGGCCCTCAAATACTTGAAAATTTAATCACATGTAGAAGAGCTCGCAAGCTTTCAAACGCTTTTTGAAAAATTCGAATCCGTCAATTGGGAGAGCTCTGGCGCTTGATTAAACATTGGTCGAATTTTTGTACTTTATAAACAATTAGAAAAACTTTGTGAATATTCAACCAAATCAAATTTTTTAAAGCAGGTTTTAAAAGTTATTGATTTTTTATAATTAATTTATTAATTTAATCATCATTTCTTTTGTGATTAAAGTATAATTCAAATATTATTTATTGTTTAAAATATAAGCAAATGAGAAATTAACTCATTATATTACTAATTTTCGACATATTTTGAAAATAATTGTTGTTTAAACAATTTTAGAATATTTAAATAAATTTGTTTTTGATCTTTGATAAACAGTATATAAGTTTATGCACTTACCTTTGATACAATAAAAAAATAAAGTTGATAATTAAAGGAAGTTTAAAGATAAATAATTATCGGACTGTTGAAAGACCAATAATTATTAACGATAGGCATTTGAAAATACGCTAATTGTTTTTTTTTAAATCGCGAGACATCGATTTAAAAAAAAACATCAAAATCGGACCTCTAGAAGCTGAGATATTAAAAATTTTTAAGCGCGTCGCGGTTTTGAACTCGCCGATTCAATTTCGAGCAGGCCGAAGCGGCCGCGCTCTCTGCTTCCCCCACCACCACCACCCGTACGATTTTCTTGAATTTCTCGCTTGCATAAATAACTTTAAACACGTTTTAAAGTAGGTTGCCAATGAAGAAAAGTATTGTAATCTTAGACCTGGTAAGTACTCGGAATACCAAAGGTATTTTTCGAAAAATTAGCCCGGATGTCCCAGTACATTTAGTGTAAATGACGGTTAACTTTGATCGGCTATAACTACGTAACTAATTGACCAATCGATCTGTTTTTTTTTAAAGAAGCGTCTTTCCAAGAACTTTTAAAACCTGCTTTAAAAAATTTGATTTGATTGAATATTCACAAAGTTCTAATTGTTTATAAGTACAAATATTCGACCAATGTTTAGACAAGCGCCAGAGCGCTCCTAATTGACGGATTCGGATTTTTCAAAAAAAGTTTGAAAGCTTGAGAGCCCTTCTATATGTGATTAAATTTTCAAGTATCTAAGGGCCTTGGTTTTAGCTGTGCAAAATTTTGAAAATTTGCTAATTTGTTTTCAAAATCTGGATTGTAAAATTATTATGCAAAATCTATCGAACCGATTTTGATGAAATTTGGTGTGATGAGTCAAGTATGAAGGTCCTATACCCAACTTAACGACCCCAAAAAAAATCCCTAAAAAATAATGTCTTTTAACCCCATTTTTTACGATTTTTTCGATTTTTACAATAATAATCATGATTCATTCGATTTGTAACTATAATATTTTGTAAAATATGTAATTACAAACATTTTTTCATCTTCCATTTTCGCCTAAAATCAACTCTTGAAAATATACATAATTAAATAGGAACATATTTCGATTTTTTTTAACATATTGTACCACCAAATGTTAAGCCCCTGTTTTTTTTGCGCATAGAAAAATTTTCATTTTTAGTGATATTTGAACGCCAAAAATCTCCGTGGATATACGATTCACCCAAATATGGACTTTTTGAAACAAATACCGTCTGGACTATTAATTTAAAAAATATTTTGATGCAACAAGGTAATTGTGAAGTTTAATTACTGTCTTATATCCTGCCCTGTCTTCACAACTTTATACCTATTTAAAATTGCATAGAAATAGATACAATTAAATCTCATTTAATTGACAGAAAAAGTGGTAAATACAAAACAACCAACGTGCGTAGTATTTAGACCACTTCAGTGATAGGAAAATTAAAGTATACACTCAAGGATAAAGCCGAAGTTATCTATTCAGCTCTTAAAATCATTTATCTCTAGCGATATGATTTCACTCCCGGTAAATCTAAGCCCGAGCAGATCAGTACCGACCCAAGCTATGGGCGTCGTCTTATTGCTTGTCTTTGCGGTCGTTCCCATCCTGATGCAAACGGAATGTGCCAGGATTCTGGGAATAATACCTACCGCCAGCTACAGCCACCAGGCACCCTTCCAGCCCTTCTGGCGGCAGCTCTCTTTGCGAGGCCACCAAGTGACGGTGATGACCACCAACCCAGCGAATGACCCCTCGCTGACGAATCTAACGGAGATCGACCTTAGTTTCACCTACGAAATATACAGCAAGTACAATTTTACGGAGTTCGTGAGCGACGACACCAACAGCTTCTTGAAGATAGCGCAAACGATGAAAACGATGCTCAACGAAGCTGGCGACTTTCAGTTTGGACACCCCCAGGTGCAGAACCTCATACACAACAAAGGAGTGACATTCGATCTGGTGATCGTAGAAGCGCAATTGCCCGCGATGATGTCGTTCAGTTGGAGGTTTAACTGTCCCATGATAGGGATCGCGTCGTTGGACTCGGGAATGCAGTATCACCTGGCTATGGGCAACCCGACGCATCCCATAGTGAATCCCGACCTCAACCTGCCCGTGGAAGATGCGGAAGACATGACTTTCAAGGAGCGGATGTCGAGTTTCGTTTACCATTTCGGTTATACGCGCTATCTCTACGACCACGCGTATCCAAACCTCCAGGTTAAACTGAGGACTATATTCGGTGAGGATTTGCCCGACTTACTACAACTCCACGACAACATGGCGATGCTCTTCATAAACACTCACCCCATCTTTCACAGTATCAGGCCTTTGAATCCTAACACTATTCCTATAGGCGGTGGGATCCATCTGAGGAAACCAGAGCCCTTAGCTGAGGTAGGTACTTGTATTGATTTCAATTTTAATTATTTCTAACGCAAGAAATCGGTGGATAGGAATGAATAATTTGTAAAAGAATCAAATCGTTTCTAGGAGATTCAAAGTCAACTGGACAACGCTAAAGAAGGGGCGATATATGTCAGTTTTGGCACAAACGTGAATGCACGAATGGCGAACAGCGTAATTACGGTAATACTGGAAGCACTGGGAGAACTGCCTTACAGAGTGCTGCTGAAGGCCGATTTAAAACTAGAAAAGACACCAAGGAACGTTGTCACACACAAGTGGCTACCGCAACAAGACATATTAAGTACGTCTTTTAGCCATTAGTAGAAATCTATTAATTAGTCCAGGAAATATTTTTTGTTTCGGCGAGCTGAATTTATCACTATAGATGCTAAATATTATGTACAGTAACATATTAGTTTCCACAGTCATAAAAATGGGGGGAAGATTATTTCATTTCCACGAGAAAACAGTGAAGTACCTTTTTTGTCTTCAAAAGACCTACAAAACTAGCCCTCGAGCGCAGTGGCGGCTCGTGACATTGAAAATAGGTGAAACATATTTATTGATTGATTAAAAATAAGCGCCGCATGCGAAAATTTTCAAGGTCAAACGGCTTTAAATTAATCTGGAAATTTTTGTTGCATTTGCTATATTACCGAAAAACTGACGTTGGCGAAAAGGATTTAAATTTTATAAAAAATAGAAATATTAGTTCGACTCGTGCGGCGAATTCGCCATATTAAAAAAAAATTTTTAGGAACTGTCAAAGTTTTTCATCCATCACGACAATTAACTGGTACTGGCACTTTTATGCTTCCTAATTCAAATATTTCTTTAAAATTCCTCTCGTTTCTTTTTTCATTTAAAAGTTTCTGGGTATTTTTAATTTGTGGCATACAATAATTAATATTTAGTGAGCGTTTTTGTAGCACATCAAAAAGAATATCAGTAATCGAAAAACATCCGCACTACCACTTATACTCCGAATACCATTCATTCCGAAACTTCTGAACATACAGAGAAGGCACAGGTCTTCCGCAATTTAAAAAATATTTTTTGTCCTCAATTTTCCATCTGGAAAATGGCGTTTCCAATAAAATACATACATGATCGTGCATAGGAAACATTTCTACAAATTACTGGTACAAAACAAATATTAATAAAGAACCGTTGTAACCGTGCACTGGGCAAAGTATCGTATATCTTTAAACACGATAGACAGGCGATGGGCGATTGGGCGATGCCGATGACTGATGAGAATGCAGCTTGAACTTTTGCATCACTCGTTCTCCTACGCCGTAGTTTACACATGCGTTGGCTGCCTCGTTGCCATGACAACCGCCGTACGGAGAGCTACGGAGAGAAACAGATACATACCAATTTCAATATGAGTCACTTGCGTATACTATACGTTGTATGACTAATAATATAACGAGCGTTCAAATAAAAACGTGGTCAAGTTGGTTCTGAAAATTTGGACGTAGGGCGTAGCGTATAGCAAATGAACTTAAACGTCATCTGTCAAAGCGCTATATCGCCGCTATCAATTTGAATATTTTCGTTTTAAAAAGCGTTTAAAATGGTGTTTTCTCAAGAACTAAAAGTGTTTATCATAGAGTCCTACTTTAGAAATGGACGCAAGATTGATGGAATATGGAAGTATTCTATTGAGGAATGTTTCATAGAATTTCAAAATCAATTTCCCGGCGTTGTTGGGTACAAAATTTTTCAAAGTGCAGTTCAGCGTTGTGTTAATGTTTTTCGTGAAACGGGCAGTGTAACAAAAAAAAGAAGGAAGCGGCCGACCTAAAAAGCGGACTGAAGAATTAAAAGAAAATGTCCAACAAATAATGGAAAATGCGCCAAGAACTTCTGTACGTGTTTTATCACAAATGGTGGGAGTACAGTCGGTACCTGCCACACAGTGTTAAAAAAAGATTTGCGTTTGTTCTCCTATCGTTTAACTTGTCAGCAAGAACTTCATGAAGTTGATTTTCCGCGACGGGCTGTATTTTGTGAATGGTTTTTAAACAACTACGGTGAACTTCATAATATCACCTTTTTTTCTGATGAAGCCTGGTTTCATTTAAGTGGTTACGTAAACTCACAGAATATGAGAATGTGGTCTTCTGAAAAACCAGGTAACTTTTTTGTCGAGGGCCCTCTACACGCTCAAAAAATTGGAGTTTGGTGTGCTCTCAATCGAAGGAGGATTTATGGACCTATTTTTTTTAATGGTACTCTTACTGCGCAAAGATATAGAGAAGAAATTATCGCTCTTTTTGTTAACCAGCTGGAAGAAAACGAAATTACAAACTTTTGCTTTCAACAAGATGGCGCAAGGGCACATACCTAAGGCAGGCGAGACGATGAATATGTTGAGGGAAGTTTTCCAAAATCGACTAATAAGTCTCAATGTTGAACATGAATTTCCACCGAGGTCATGTGATATTACGCCGTGTGATTTCTTTTTGTGGCCTTACCTTAAAAACACTATTTTTGAACTGCCTATTCCTGATTTAAACCATCTGCAGGCTCGACTTATAGACAAGATTCGTGAAATTAACAATACCCCGAGCATCTTAGAAAATGTCTTTAATTCTTTGAGGAACAGGTGTGAAAAGTGCTTGGAACAAGGAGGGGGACACTTTCCGCAGCTCCTTTAATTGTTTGTTATTGTTATCACGATTATTCTTTAAAATAAAGTTATATAGTCATTAACGTTATTGAAACTGACAGCTGCTATACAGCTCGTTGAGAAATGAGGTTAAGTTGGTCGCTATAAGCTACTCCCTACGTCCAATGTGTCAGAGCCAACTTCGACCACGTTTTTATTTGAACGCTCGTTATAACTATATCACGCTCGTGCGTCGTATATTTCATTTTGCAACTAAGGCTGAAAAATAATAAATTTACCATCTACATCTTATTTATTGCTGCAATTTTACTATAGCGAAACTGATTGTTAGGATGATGAGTTTTATGACGGTACCAAACCAACAAATATCTTTTTAGGACATCCTAACTTGAAGTTGTTTGTTACCCAAGGAGGGCTACAATCCCTCCAGGAGGCGGTGTACAACGCCGTACCTTTGGTCGGCATACCGTTCCTAGGCGATCAGATCGCGAACGTCAATAGGATGGTTAAGAAAGGCTACGGTCTCAAATTGAACAAAAACGATGTAACCAGAGAATCTATCAAACGCGTCGTACTGGAAGTCATGAATAATCCAAAGTAAGCCGTTAGCGACTAGTAATCTATTGAAGAAAGGCTACGAAAAATTGTAAACTGTTATTTTGCAGGTATAGCGAAAAAGTTCGAGAACTGAGCGCGATCTACAGAGAAGAGGAAATGCCGAGCTTGGAAAAAGCGATATGGTGGACGGAGTACGTCATCAGGCATAAAGGAGGTCGCCATCTGAGAAGCGTCGCGGTGGATATGCCGTCTTGGAAGTACTTCATGTTGGACGTCATAGGATTCTTGCTTTCAGTTCTAGTTTTGTTTACTTTCACGTGCTACAGGATCACCAAGTACGTTTCTAGGTTATGTGTGAAAGCTAATTCCAAGCTCAAAGTTCAATAAAAAAAATGTGCCTAAAAATTTTAACCACGCACCAAAATCAACAACTTTTGTCTAATAACTTTTCTCGAAAACCGCGTAGTTTCTAAGATACATAATACATATATTTTTTTTAATTTTAACGTTTTATTACCCGCCACTGGGGCAGAAATGTCCAAACGTTGAGTCAAAATAAACAAATAGAAGCACAACAATAGAAACTAATTAGTGCCAATATTTACTCTACAAACGATTTTAAGATTGTGAATCGTTCCATGAAACATTCGTATATTTTACTTAAATATTTCCGTAATCGCTGTTTGGAAATATCCATTTGTTGATGTAAAATATAAAATGTTGATCGCCTTCAGAAATACGTTTATATGAAATCACATACTCCTTGGTTTGAAAAATACTATAAAAAGGGATGGAAATAATTACAAACTACTTTATATAGACCAGGAAAATAAGCTGGGAAATTACCATTTCGCGACTTTTTGTTTCGGCAAGCTGAATTTACCACTATTGATGCTAAATATTACGTACAATAACATATTAGTTTCCACAGTCATAAAAATGGGGGGAAGATTGTTTACAGGGTAGTTAATTGTATAATTTTTACGTAAATTCGCGTTTTTCGCTTTACAACTAAGGCTAAAAAATAAAAAAAATTCCAAGTTGCAAATTTGAAATTAAAAAAAAAGATAGATTTCAAGGTATTATTATGAAATCTACCATGAAAAAAATCAGTGCGATTGTGGAAGATCCTCGGGATCGTCCAGACTAAGAATTAGTTAATTTGTTTATAAGGCCATAATTTGGAAACTATAGACTGATAAGGAATGAGAGGATGCGATGCCAAAACGTTCAGGTAATAATAACGCAGTTTATAAATGTTTAAATCAAAAGTCATAAATAAACTTCTGTTTATAACTTTTGATCTAATCAATATTTTTTGACGCTCGAGGGCTAGTTTTGTACGTCTCTTGGACACAAAAAAAAAGTACTTTACTGTTTTCTCGTGGAAATGAACGGAAAAAAGTTATAAGCGAAAAACGTGAATGTACGTAAAAATTATACAATTAACCACCCTGTAAACAATCTTCCCCCCATTTTTATGACTGCGGAAACTAATATGTTATTGTACATAATATTTAGCATCTATAGTGATAAATTCAGCTTGCCGATACAAAAAGTCGCGTCCAACTCTATATTTCCTGGCCTATGTAAGTAATAAAACTGTTTTGAAATTAGTTCACCCGAGAAATATTAAAAAAATACCTAATCGCGATTCGTTGTTATTTATTACAACAACATTGTTGTTAATGGTAAGTGTAGATATTTATTTGTTATTTATCATCGTTTTACCAATGTCAGTGTCAGTATGTTGTAAAACAAATCGGTTTTAGGCGAGTTTTTAGCACAGTTTAAAGAAACTACGTGCCGCGACGTAATTAAAATTAATAAAAAATGTACACACAGTTGTTACCTCATGACTGTGTCCAAGTGAGGGAAAAATATTTATTTTGTGAACTTTTGTGAAGACGTTATTCTTTATAAAGTTTTCTATCGGTTTCGTAATTATTTTCATACCTAAATTATCTTTTTTATGTACAAAATCTTAACTAGATATACTTTTATATACATAATAGAACAGTAAAATTATATGACCTAGAAATTCCAATCCTAAATTATCAATGAACCCGTTTGTTACATAACAACGAAATACTAATAAATACAATTGACCTAAAAGTTTCTCGGTTAGGTTGTAGATTCCGGAAAATGAAGTGGGTGGTTTTCTTGTGCGGTTTCAGTTTTTTACTGTTGGGAACATGTCACTCTGCCAACATAGTGGCATATATGCCCTTTCCGTTTTACAGCCATCAAACAGCTTTCAAGCCGCTGTGGTTAGAACTGGCGAAAAGGGGACACAAAATCACTCTCATCCAGTCTCAAGTCACTGTAGAAAACAACGAGAACATCACCCACATACTCCTGAACGACACGTACAGAATTATGAACAAAGGGAAAATGTTCGACAAAATAGCAGAAGGCCAGTCCATCGTCAAGACACTCGTATCGGAGTTGCATTCCCTTTTCGAGTCAATGGAATACCAATTGTCGCATCCAGGAGTCCAGGAATTGCTGGCAAGCGACAAGAAAGTCGATCTGTTCTTCACGGAGTTCCTTGCGACGTTTGGCACGGCTCTTGGGCGAAAGCTCAACGCGTCGATGATCGGCTTGGTATCCATGGACTCCTCTATTCACGGACACCTCTACGTGGGCAACCCTACGCACCCGGTTATGTATCCAGATAAAGATATGCCGTTTTACCCGGCTCTTACCTTCAAGGAAAGGGTGATAGACACTTTTTTCTGGGTAGCTTTTAAACTGTCAATGGATTTTATATTCAATCCCATGATGGAACGGGTAGCTGCGAAATGTTTAGGGGAGGTAGAACCTTTGGAAGACATCGCTAAGGAGGTTAGTCTGCTGTTTATAAATGCCAACCCGCTGTTCAATGCCGTAAGGCCTCTAGGACCTAAAACTTTCAACATTGGAGGGGGGCTTCACTTGTTGGAACCTCAGCCGCTGCCTGAGGTATGTATAACGGTTTAGATTTTCTTATTTTTTTATGCCAATGTAGTTTTTTTGATAAATTATATAGATGGTACAGTGATTGAAGCTGAAAATCAGCCGTAACATCCGAATTCTTTGAAACTGCATGGATTTGCATGAAAATTTAGAATAAGGCTCATCTTAGGCTCAAGTTCAAAAGTGACATAAGCCCGATCGATGCTTTTTGTTTTTTAGGGGTAAAAACTACCCCTTAGTGAAAAAAATTGAAAAAATTAAGTTTTAAGCATTTTATTGATAAAACTCTTGTTCAAGCACAAAGATTAAATAATGTCCCATGTTCTCGAACATGTTTTATGATGTATTTGATATTTTCGACCCTTTATTTAACCCTTAAAAACTACCCCTATGCAAAAATAATGATAAAAAAATACTTTTTAAAGATTTGGACTGATTAAATCGTGCAATTATTTAAAATAAAAGTTACCTTATAGCTAATAAAATAATTTGTATCTCATAACACTTTTCAACCCTTATAAATCACCCCTGTGCTAAAAAAATGATAAAATATTACGTTTTAAATCTTGGAATGCTATAATTGACATTCCCTTATATTGTTTATAATAATAATAATATAATAATATCTCTACTCCTCATTCTAACTACGAGAATTAGCCCAGAAGTCGGAGACTTGTGCGGGAGAGGAGGCGGCATATTATTATTACGCAGGCCGCATTTGCGCCCAGGAACGACTTATGTTGGTAGGCCCTAACCGCCATTCAGTGCAGGAATGAGGGAAACCTGGAAAACCTCATTAATTAGGGGGGTGGTCAAATGCCAACCGGTGTCAATCTCTCACATTGACCCAAGCCAACATTCTTCCACCCTACCATACCTGCACAGAGGGTGCCAATCCTCCGTACAAGCATAGCTAATCTACGGTCTACCGGCCGCGGGATTCGAAACCCGGGCAGATCGACACATCGATTTAAGTACTGACGCCTTAAACCGTGCGATTATGAAAGAATATTTTACTTTTGCCATTTTCAACTCTTATAAACCACCCTTTTACCAATGTTAATGTAATTTTTTTTTATTATAATCGATTTTTAAATATAATCAATCATAAATAAAATTGCTACGTTGCATATAAATAATCACACTAAATTTGTTTACTTATTTTATTGGTATAATATAATATATAATATTGCTCCGAAAAAATGTTATTGGTTTTTTTACCATAACTCGGTTAATTTTGAAGCTATAGTATCCTACAAAAAAAGCATTTTAAAGATAATTTCAAGAGCTGTAAGATCGTTTGCATATAAAACCTTTTAAGTTCTTCGTTTTTTAAAGGGAAAGGTCGAAGGGCTCGAGACAGGTCGTTTTTTCACTAAAATGGATAGTTCAAGCGGAGATATCTCTTTTATTTTTTATGCTATAGGAATTAAAAAATCAAAACATTTGTTGAGAAAAAAGCTACATTTTTGTTGTCTATCATTTTTTACGTATCTTTCATAGTTTCAGAGTTATTATATAAATATGGCAATTTTTTTTGAATAATGAAAAATACGTTTTCAACTTTTACCGTACATTATTCAAAAAATACGCATTCTAAACCGGTCTAACTTCAGGATCGTATGAAAAACACTAAAACAAAACTAATTGTAAAGGGTCTACGATTAATTTTAATTCTGATGGAAATGGTAGTGTTTACTGCTCATTTTTCTTTAAAAAATATGAGCAACCCATCTGTTTTGACGATGACTCCTAATTAACTAATTAACTTTTGTAAGTGCTCATTTCGAAAGTCTTTTTGAGTACTACAAAAAACTCCAGGAGTGTGATACACATAAAATTAATCCTTTTTCCGTTATTTGACGTTGAATACATCGATTTGAGTATTCCCCCCACAACAAGTCCCCTTCCACTAACCATATTTCGCTTTGTATAGGACATACAGCACTTTTTAAAAAACTCTATTTATAAGCTACATTTTTGGTCATTACACTTTTTTTAATAAAATGCGTAGTTTTTGAGTTATTCGCGAAAACTACTTTGAAAAAGTGTTTTTTTCACTCAAAATTACAAGTTTTCAATCGAGAATAACTAAAAAACTATTGATTTCTCGAAAAAATTCTTCGATTATTTTTTGCTAAAAATTTGATTCTCTATCGATTTCCAGCGTTATTTTTGAAAAAAAATTCCACCCCCGAGAAGGGGTGTCAACCCCCAACAGGGTGGACGCGTCAATCGGCGCTATGTCACTAATGTTCATTGACCTTTTCTCTAGCTATCTGCCAAATTTCAAGTCGATCGGTTCAGTTTCAAAGAATTCGGAGGTGAAAAGGTTCAATGACTGTACAAAGATTAGGTAGGACTTGATACGAGTAGTATGAAAAGTAGACCTCTTTCACTTTCAATTTGTACAGGCTGAGTAAAGTTTTTGTAGTCAAATTTTTGCTAGAAGACCTTATTCTAAAAAAGAGTTAAATAGAGATATAATTGTGGACCCCTTAGGGAGTCCAGTGTTGAAATAGAAAAAATAAATAAATTTGCCAAATATCTGGTTTTTTTTATAGATGTTTGATGTGGTTTTATACTTAACCAATAGCGGACAAAATGCACTGAGTCACTGCACAAATTTATCAACCAGTGGCGGAAACGTTTACGGAAAAGGGTATTTTAAAATAGGTGTATAAGTGTATTTAATTCCGAAAAAAATTTGTCTTTCATTTTATTAAAAAAGAATGAGCTATTTTTCAGTTATTCTTTTACATTTAAAATAAGCACAGTGTAATTAATAAAAAAATGGAAATTTCACGTTGAAACTGCTATTAAATAAAGTAGCAAATAGCTTTGCAGTTGTAATCCACATAATATAATATGTAATTAATTCTTAATGGAATACCACAAATCAGTTTTGAACGATATGGGTTCAACAACACATCCAGACAAACCAAACAGCACCGTCGCGTCATCCTCACAGATAAAACGGTGACAGATACCAAGACTGTGATAACACTGATAACAACAAAATACTAATAAATATAAACCGTACACAAACCTAAAAGTTACACAGATATTTCGCAGTTTCCCGAGAATGAAGTGGGTGTTTTTCTTGTGCGGTCTCAGTTTTTTACTGTTCGGAACATGTCGGTCTGCAAACATAGTGGCATATATGCCGCTTCCGTTTTACAGCCATCAAACAGCCTTCAAGCCGCTGTGGTTAGAACTGGCGAAAAAGGGACACAAAATCACTCTCATCCAGTCTCAAGTCGTTGTAGAAAACAACGAGAACATCACCCACATACTACTGAACGACACGTACAGAATTATGAACAAAGGAAAAATGTTCGACAATTTGGGAAAAGGCCAATCCATCGTCACTGTACTCTTGGCGGCTTTGAGTTCCCAGGTCGAGGTAATGGAATACCAACTGTCGCATCCGGGAGTCCAAGATTTGTTGAAGGGCGAAAACAAAGTCGACCTGTTCTTCACCGAGTTCCTTGCAACATATGGCATTCCTCTAAGGCGTAAACTCAACGCGTCGATGATCGGCTTGGTATCCATGGACTCCTCTATTCACGGACACCTCTACGTGGGCAACCCCACGCACCCGGTTATGTATCCAGATAAAGATATGCCGTTTTACCCGGCTCTTACCTTCAAGGAAAGGGTGATAGACACTTTTTTCTGGGTAGCTTTTAAACTTTTAATGGATTTTATATTCAATCCCATGATGGAACGGGTTGCTGCGAAATGTTTAGGGGAGGTAGACCCTTTGGAAGACATCGCTAAGGAGGTTAGTCTGCTGTTTATAAATGCCAACCCGTTGTTCAATGCCGTGAGGCCTCTAGGACCTAAAACTGTCAACATTGGAGGGGGGCTTCACTTGTTGGAACCTCAGCCGCTGCCTAGGGTACGTGTGACGTTTTGAATTTTCAAATAATTATCTCTCTAACATCTACATTAAACCAAACAATTACAGGGTCTAAAGAATTTCGGAAAATTTTCCGTGATTTTTGACAGACTGTATTTAAGTGAGAAATGGTCGTATCGAGAATTAAAAAAAGCATTTTCAAGCTCTAAGACACTAGTTTAGAGATCTTTCGGTCGAAAATTTTTAGGGTTTACGGTTATCATGGAATTCTAATAGCGCAACAAAAAATTTTCCAAATTTTTTATTTTTTTCCGTGTTCACGGACTTGGAAAAAATTTTTTCAGCTAAGCCATTGCATGAACCAGATAGCTTGTTTATTCAGCTTTAATTTCCTTTGTTTAAATTTCGATACGACCATTATTCATCGATATCTCGGTGACAGATGGTCCTACAGAGAATTGAAGAGCAGTTTCGAAAACTGTAATAAATGTTCTATAACATGCTGCAACTTTTCGGATTTTTTTTTTTTCGTCTTTTACACGAATTTAAAAAAAAAAAACAGGAAAAAAAAGGTAATTTATATTTTTTTAGAAAATTGACGGCTAAATTAGAAATATTCACGAAATGACTAATGTTAAGCATTACTTTTACAGTTATATATTCAGAAGAATTCTGTGAAGTTTCATCTCGATTTATCGAACCGTTTCTTTGTTTCAAACTATTCAAAAAAATTAATGGGTCACGTTTTTTGAGCTTAAACAGTTCCTAATCATGATTAAAATGGAAAAAAAAATATTTTTAAGGTTGTCTCACATTTTTACCGCAAATAACTTTTAAATTGATTAAAAAAAAATAATTTTTCGAAAAATTGTCCATTTTTTTTTTTTGGAAAACCTTCCGGACATTGAAGAAAACAAAATCCAATTGTTTCCAACACGATTTGGCTTTTCTGTCCAATGCTTGTGTTCATCAGCTTTTAATTAAATTAAAATTAAAGTTGATGACCCAAACCACATTTCGATCCCGATTCATACCGTTTTTTGAGACTTTGTAATTAATTTTTGTACAGTCTGTAATCACATAAAAAACAGTTTTTTCAAAACTACCCTTTTTCTTCTCAAAAAAAAATTCTCGAAAAATATTTTTTTCGTCAATTTATTTTTACAAAGGTAAACAACCTTAAATAAAGTTACTTTATAAGATAATTTCAAATTTCCCCAAAATCTGTGAAATCCCAATGCCAATGAAAATTAAATACAGGGTGTTTCTTAATAACGTGCTAATATTTAAGGAGGTTATTCTTGGGTCCATTTTAAGAAAAAAACTTCATATGAACATATGTCCTAAAAGTCTTAACTTTTGAACTACAGGGTGCTAAAGTTTTATGAAAAAACATTTTTTTATGATAACTTTGGTATTACCTAACCTAGATATTTTTTCAAATTTGGTACACGCCTTCTATTCATCGAGGTGCATTTTCTGATGTACTAACAATTTTATTATTTTTGCCAGTGGCGTCTGTACAGGTTTTGTATTGAATATTTTTGAAGAAAAATATGTTACGCCTCTGCTTTTTCTTAAAGTAAAAATCATTTCTGAAATCCTCATTCCTTTCTGAGCAAATGTGATGTCTTGAATTTTTTTCGTTTGACTTACGGTTTTCGCGTAAAAAAAATAAAATTCATTCATTTGCATCTTATTTGACCACTTCCGTGAAAAAAAAGATTTATGTAACTTTGAACAATAATTTATTTAAGATAATAACTTTTAAACGTTGAAATTATGAAATTACAGTAATCTACATCCATTTCGGAATGGTAAAAGAAAATTACCCTGACATAACATATTTTTCTTCAAAAATATTCAATACAAAACCTGTACAGACGCCACTGGAAAAAATAATAAAATTGTTTGTACATCAGAAAATGCATCTCGATGAATAGAAGACGTGTACCAAATTTGAAAAAATATCTAGGGTAATACCAAAGTTATCATAAAAAAATGTTTTTTCATAAAAATTTTAGCACCCTGTAGTTCAAAAGTAAAGACTTTTAGGACATATGTTCATATGAAGCTTTTTTCTTAAAATGAACCCAAGAATAACCTTAAATATTAGCATGTTATTAAGAAACACCCTGTATAAATGTTTGCTTCGTCAGATAAGTTTTAAAGTAGTTCTATAAACATAAATATCGTATATTACTCATGATATTCATAATATTCATAATAATGTTAACACTGAATGTTTTAGACATATGAAATAGTACAGTTGAATTGTAATCAAACGAAATTTATTCTTTGAAGCGATTTTCTTGTGCCCCATGTTGATCGCCTACAGTTAAAACTACAGTTTTTTATGTTTTCACTTGATTTTGAATTTGGCGGAAATGCTCGCTGTGCACATCGGTACCGTTTAAACTCCCTTATTTAAAGGATCTTCAGGACTACTTGGACAACGCCGAATATGGGGTTATATATTTCAGTTTGGGATCCAACATTAACAGCAAACAACTGCCTAACATTACCAAGAAAATAATTCTGGAAACCTTCTCGCAGTTGCCGTACAAAATATTGTGGAAATTCAATGAAGAAATTCCAGGAAAATCCAATAACGTCAAAGTGATGAAATGGATACCGCAGCAAGACGTTCTCAGTAAGTTGTACTGGGTGTTTATTCGTAATTATCACTAAATATCCACTAAAGAATAATTATTACGTACCTGTTATATTTTTTTAGGGCATAAAAACGTAAAACTTTTTATCACTCAAGGAGGTCTCCAGTCCATGGAAGAAGCCATTTTTAATTACGTCCCCATGCTTGCCCTGCCATTCTATGGAGATCAAAATAGCAACGCACGTAAAATGGCAGCCAAAGGAATTGGATTGACGCTAGATTACAAGAAGTTAAATGTGGAAAGTTTTAAAAGCGCTATTTTGGAGGTTCTCGACAACTCGCGGTAAGTAACCAAGAAAATCGCAATGTTCTTTATTTTCAAAGCATGAAATGATCGTGTGCTTTGGCGGATATTGGTATCTAGATTGGTAGATCAACTCAATGTAGTATAACCATTCTAGATCCCTCTGTAATATCCGTTTTTGTTTTGTTGAAACTTCACAATTTTTCTTTTTTTTTGTAAACTGAGGTATTGAAAATCGCCTAAGTCGGTTTTTTTTTTCCCAAATAGTCCAGGCGGTATCGTCACTCCCGCTAAGAACATGATTCTCATTCAATTTTTTTATTAAAAAAAGACATTACTAATGGTCAAAAATTGTTTAAAGAATTTTTTTTAAACAAATTCGTAATATTCGATTTTTTCGCTCGAAATATTTTAATTTCCTATGCAACTTTTCTCTAAAATCTACCGTTTTCGAGATATTAACGATTTTTTGTTCGAAAAAACAAAACGCGATTTCAACCATTTTCAACGTCAATAAACTATATTTAAAATTACAATTTTTAGTGTTACCAAAATTCTTGAATAATCTTAACAAAAATTCGAAGAGTTGCGCTGGCATATTTTATTCTGAAGACTTGTTTTTTTTATTGTTAATAAGCGTTAAAAAGTCCTATCCGCGAGATTATTGTCTAAAGGAACATAATACAAGACATCTCTCATCTCGTGAGTCAAAAACTAACTAAGCTAAGCTAATTTTTCTATTTAAACAAATAAGTGAGGAAAACGTTTTTTTCACTTTGCAGGGAAAACCGTTAATTTTAGCGAAAAGTGACTCTCAGACAGCTTGTAGGGAGTAAAATTATCTATAAAATGAGACTGGTTAAATTAAAATCGGTTAATAAACAAAAAAGTTATTGCAAAAAAACAAGAAAGGTGCCCATTTTTGTATGTTGTTTATAACTATCGCATTTATTGTTAAAATTTTATAAAACCTATGACAGGTTGAGAGTTTTGTCATACTTTAAAAGTGTGCCAAAAGTGGGCGCTGTAGGTGCAATAGTTTTCGCACAATTCTATTTGTTTATAACGGAGGCTCCAAAAGTTATGAACTTTAAGCCTCTGTACAGGCGTTAATTTTCAACCAAACATGATTCTGAAAGCGTCATTGTAATCTTAAAGACGTAATTAAGCGACCTATTAAAAAATATCACCGTTTTTTGACATTAACATTCTCAAATTGTGCATTAAAAAAACGTGCGTTTTTCGCTTATAAACAATTTGAATAAAATTGTTGCTATTTATGCTACCTCACCGAAAATATTGCAACTAATATTTATTCAGATGTCAAGTAACAATTTTGTATTCAATTAATAAAATATAAATTAATGTACTGTAAATAACTAATAAAACATTATATAACTTATAAATAATTGAATTACGTAGATTTTCCAAACATGTACCTGACATTACTATTGTTTAGTTTTTCTTTACCAATAAATTTATGTAATTAAAATCCTAACTAAATTATCAAACTGTTTTTCATGACGATGATTAAACAAATGTAAGTTAATGGATTTAATCGAGTATATACTATATTCCAATAAAATATATAACATTTAATTTAAAGTAGCAATAGTTTGGTTTTGAATAATTCGCTTTCTTATTAACATTATTTATTAAATAGTTTATTAATATTAAGTTTATTACCATCAAAAAACAACAAACCTACCGGTCAATATTGAGCGATACAAGCAGATCCTTAGTTGTAGGCGTGGAGTATACAGGGTCGGAAAGTCCCCATAGTTCATCGGCCGTTGCGTGAGAGCGATAAAGAAAGTCATAGAAATCCGTGCGATAGAGGAAGATGGCTATAATGAGGGTGTCTAATAGTCACCGCCCATTTCGCCCTTCCACAAATAAGATCCACTTCTTATTTGTGGAATCGCGTTTTTTCGAACAAAAAATTGTTAATATCTCGAAAACGGTAGGTTTTAGAGAAAAGTTGCATAGGTACTGATTTGTTTTCGAAACCCCAAAGAGCCTAAAAAAATTTATTTCTAACGAAAAATCGAAAATTACGAATTTATTTAAAAAAAATCGTTTAAACAATTTTTGACCATTAGTAACGTCTGGCAACATGCGGATATATTTCAAGGGTCATTTTTTTAGTAAGATTAGACTAAAAGTTATTCTATTACCGTCCAATCTTTGACAGATACAGGGAAACAACGAAAGAATTAGCCGACTTGGTCATGGACCAACCGATGACCGGTTTGGAGAAGGCCGTCTGGTGGACGGAGTACGTACTAAGACATGGAAGAACGGAACACTTCAGGGACCGATCCGTTGACACACCGTGGTATCAGTTTTTGCTTTTAGATGTAATCTCTTTCGTTCTTGCGGCAGCAGCAGTTGCGATATACGTTTTCGTAAAAACTTTGCGATTATTAAAGTGGTCGGTATGTAAGTTACACAAAACACTGACTGATGGAAAGAAAACAAAAACGAATTGAGTGCAGTTAGGTGACAGACAGTAATTAATAGATAGATAGTAACAATGAAATGCAAGCATACGTTTACAGAACGTGTCTTTAACTGAAATACTTTTATTGATGAATTAATACTCAAATTATTTTAGGTATTCGTAAACTTTGAATCATGTTTATTGTTGTCATTATCGATAAAGTCCTTAATTATATATATATAT